CTCACGTACTCCTGCTTGGCCAGCACTGCTCCAGCCTGGGCAAAGCCTGAGATCATCAGTCCTGCGTGGGCACAGGGAAAGCTCAGGCACAAGGGAATGGCTGGGTGTCACACATTTTCCTCCACAGGATGCTTCACACAAAGCTCATGCTCCCTGACATTGCAACTGCAGGCCATCATCTCCTCTGCTCTCTTCCAGCCTCCCAGAAAGTCCCTCACTGAACTACCATCCAGAGAAAGGCAGAGCACTGAAACCACAGCAAGATCTCAGCCTTTGCCTGTGGGCACAGGCTGTGAGACTTGGCTCTGCGCTGTACTTCCAGCTCAGGCTGCAGGCACGTCCCACAGGGACAGGAACAGCACCCCATTCTCACCCTGCTGATATGTGGTGAGCACAGACCTCAGCCCCATCCCTCCCAGTCCTGCCAAGCAGGCTGCGCCAGGGAAGAGTTTTGCTGCTCTCTGCTGGCAAGAAGAAAATAAAAAAGCCCAACACAGCACTATCTCACACCAGCAGCAGCCGCACAGACGGCTGTGGATCCACGCACCGTTCCACGAGGCCAGCATCTTGGTGTCCAGGTGGGGCCGTGGGCGCTGTGCCCGGGCTGCCTGCAGCCTGTGCCTGCCCTCCTGCAGCACAGCACTCAGCTGCCCCAGCTGCAGCCCAAAGCGCGCAGCTGTCAGCTCCGGGGAGGAACGGACAATGAGGACATTCTTGCCCTGCAGCTCTTTATGGGGATCCTGCAAGGAGAGCTCTGCTCTAGGAACATTGCCCGGCCCGCATGGCTTGGACCCACGTGCCTCGGGTGCAGCAATGCTCCCGGTGAGGTCTGCACAACCCCTCACCTTCCTGGGGCTCACGTTGCCGTCCTCCTTCACCCCGTAGTGGTGCATGAAGACATCTCCCAGGGTTGTGCCCTCTGCAGCCCCCTCCACTGGGTCAGGGAGCAGAGCCCGGACCTCCTCGGCTGCCCACACACAGAAAGCTCCTTCCTGCTTCTTGCTGGAGGCAGCCATCGGGTAGGAATCTGCATCCTCTGCACTGTAAAAGCCTCCGGTCTGGGGAGGAAACAGCAGAGATGTCCAGCTGTGGGCACAGCCCTGCAGCACAGCACTGCGTCCCACGCAGGGTAAGTAAGTGACCTGGGGAACACACCTGGCTGCCCAGGTCCCGCGAGGCATACAGCAGGATGTCAGCGGCAACGTCAGCAAAGAACTCATCACCAGAGATCTGCAGGGGAGGTGAGGCAGTGATCACTGCTGTGTTACAACAGGCAGGGGGGAAAGAGACACAGCAAGAAGTAACGGGACACGGAAAGAGCTACAAAGGGGAGAAGTGCTGGGCAAGGATTTTAAACACGAGGCACATTTAGAGCCTCACGGGCTAATATCACAGACCTGTACAGCACTCCTGCCTGCACAACAAACGCTACGGATGGGGAATAGGGGAGTGCTCTGTGCCCACTGATGGGCAGCCCGAGCCCTGCAGGAGCCCACAGCCACACCTGGAAGGCTCTGCTGTACACAACTGCCAGCTGCCCCTGGTCATACAGCATCTTCTCAAAGTGTGGGACGTGCCAGTGTTGGTCAGTAGAGTAGCGATGGAAGCCCTGTGAGGAACACACAGGTGTCACCATCGTGCTCCACCTGCACACTGCTGCAGTTTAACCCCAGGGCACTCCTCCTACCTGACCAATGTGATCGTGAATGCCCCCATGTGCCATCATCTTGAGAGTGTGCAGAGACATCTGCAGGGCACGGGCCCCTTCTGGGGTTGTTCTGTGCAGAGCCCAGTAGGTGAAGAGGAAATTCAAATTCACTGAAAGACAGGGACAGGCTGCAGAGTGAGCTCTGTGCACCGGCCAGGCTCAGCCACAGGGACCACACTGACCTGGTGTGGGGAACTTGGGGCTCTGTGAGAAGCCGCCATACTCCTCGTCGTAGGAGCCGGAGAGCTGCTGGAAGCAGGTGGTCAGCACCTCCAGGGCCGGGGGGGCTGCCTGCTGTGTGCCGACCCGGGACAGGGAGTGCAGCGCTTCCAGGATCCTCTGGCTGCTCTGCAGCAGGGCCTCCTGGTTCTGCCTCCACTGAGCAGCGGTGAGAAAATCAGTGCTTTCTCTTCTTGCCTTTTTTCTGCCTCCCAACCCAACCTTTGTCTGCATTTCTCAGTGCCCTCCCCCTGCGCAGCGCATCCCCATCCCCACCCCCATCCCACCCACCCTCCTTCAGCCTCTGCTTCCCGTGGCTGCTCCCCATTGACACCACCCCAATTCTGAGCACCGCCCCCAGCTGCCCTCTTACCTGCTCTGCAATGCGGAGCAGCACAGTCCGGAAGCCCACATGATGAGCGCTGTCCTCAGGGGGGAAATACGTGCCCCCAACAAAGGGCTTGAGGTCTGGAGTCAGCCAGACGCTCATCGGCCACCCCCCGCCGCCACTGGTGGCCTGAAGGGCAGAAGGATCTCACGGGGGGCTCCTTGGGAACACAGAAAGGAACCTCGAGAAAGAAGGGCAGAGCGTGCCCCAGCCCTGCCGCACTCCCCCACCTGCACGAAGGTCATGTACACTTTGTCCACGTCCGGCCGCTCCTCACGGTCCACCTTGATGCACACGAAGTTCTTGCTCATGATCTCACCGATCTCCTCGTTCTTGAAGGACTCCTCCTCCATCACATGGCACCAGTGGCAGGTGGAGTACCCGACTGAAAGCGAGCGCAGCACGCAGGGTGAGGCCACAGAGCCATGGAGCAGCCGGGATGGGTGCACAGGAACACCACACTGCATCGCCCCACCTCCACCCCACTGCCTGACAGCGGAGCCCCAGCACCCAGCACAGCCCCTGCTGTGCCCACCGCTCTCTGGGCCACAGCCTTTCCCAGCCCCACGCCCCGGCACAGCTCTGTGCCATACAGAGTGGAGGAGCAGCACAGAGGCATCCCTCTGGCTCACCTGCTGCTCTGCACTCCTCAGCTCTCCCAGGACAAGGGCGTCGGTGGCCACAATGGCCCCTGAACGCAGCCCGCCTTCCGACAGAGCTGCTACGGCTCTCAGTGGGAAGGAATGAGAGGCGGGCAGCCTCACCCCGCAGCTCATTTACGACTGGGACACATAAAGGTACACCTGGCTGCCAGTTACCTGACAGGAAGATCAGCTTGTTCTCCTGCTTTGCTTTATCAAAGGCTTCCTGACCCCACGGGTACCTGCAGAGGACGAGGAGTAGCCCGTGGGGTACAGCTGCCATCAGGGCTCACTCTGGAGCTGCACATCAGGCAGCAGCCTCCTGGTGCCAGCCCTGCTAGGGGAGGATGAGGAGGAAGGGCTTGGTGCGCTCTCACCAGTCCACAGGGTTGCGGGCGTGCTGCTGCAGGTATGGGGACTTCTCGTAGATGAGCCGGTTGGCAGGGCGCGCCGGGCTGCTCCTCCCGGCCGTGGCCATGGCCATGCTGCCCGCTAGGAAGAACGGCCTGCAGCACGGGATGTGCTCATTAGTTCGTTTACTCACTCGTTAATTCACTTTGTTGCCCACGGGGAGAGCCCGATGTGGGGTGCTGTGTCCCCGGCATGCTGCACAGCCACAGCCCTCGGCGAACCAGTGAAACCCCTCCTGGGCTCTGCCCCAGCATTGGGAGGGGGACAAGGGGATCCTCCTGGTGCTGTGGACAGAGGGAGGGGTGCACAGGTATGGGGGTAGCAGCAAGGGGTGCAGGAAGGGCACGTGGTGGGAACACAGTCACAAAACAGAGGATTTAAGAGAGATGCAAAGGGAGTGCAAGGGGAAAATGCAGGGGGGAGGAAGGCAGGAGATACAAGCAGGATTTAAGGGGATGCAAGGGAGGACGCAGGATTTACGGGCATGCAGAGGGTAGAGGATTCAAGGGAACGAAGGAGGCACACGGAAAAAAGGGACGACGCAGGGGATGTCAGGAAAGATAAGAGGAGGCGCAGGGAGCTCTCCGGGGCACACAGAAGGGATGCAGAGGTCTGGGGGGGTTCAAGAGAACGCAGGGAATACGGAGAGGGCACGGGGAGGATTCAGGGGATGCGGAAGCGGGGCAGGAACATCCAGAGCAGCGCACTGGAAGCGGGCAGCACTCCGGTAAGCAGAAGGGGCGCACGGAGCGGCACGGAGCGGCAGGCAGGGCGCTGCAGGGCGCTGCAGGGCGCGGGGCCGGCAATGCAAGCTGTGCCGCAGCGCTCCCCCCGCCCGGCCGCTCCCAGCTCCGTCCCCCGGCTCCCCCCCATACCTGCGGGCCCTGCGCAGCGGCACCGCGAACATGGCGGCGGGGGAGGGGCGGAGCCGGGCACCAAACTGCGCTCCTGGGGCCGCCCCCGAGCCGAGCCGAGCCGAGCCCGCCCCGCGCGGGGCGGAGAGAGCGGTAAGAAGGCGGCAAGCGGTGTCCGTTCCGGTACTTTATTGTGGCGGTCAGCTCGCGGTTCCCGAATGCCGGGACGGCCGCGGCGGTTCCGGACGCGGAGTCACCCCGCGTGGAGCAGCGCTGCCGGCTGCACGCGCTGAAGCACGACGCAACGCCCGCCCCCCCGAGCAGCGCTGCCCGCGGCACCGAGCGCTGCTCCCGGTGCTCCCCGTAGGACGGAGCGCCCGGCCCGGGCTCTGCACGGGATCCGGGGGCACGGAGGACTGCGAAGGGCTCGCAGCCGGGGCTGACCCGGGCTGGAGAGCGGGGACACGGTGCCCAAGCGGAATAACATCCAGAGCGGGGAGAGCGCGAACCGGCCGAGAGCCGCGGGGAGAGGGCAGCACGTTAAGAGGAACGGTGCGTTTCCAGGGCAGCAGAGCGAAGAGGAGGCACCGTCCGTCCGCCCCAGGGCCGCCCCCCGCCCCGTTCCCGGCCGCGCACCGAGGCGCTGCGCGCAGAGCGGACAGTCCCGGAGCCCGCCGACGCTCCGGGCGCGGTTCCTGCGGGCGGCTCGCGCTGCTTGCCGTCCCCGGCGGTGGGAGCGGCGGCGGAACGGCCGGGAAGGAGCGAGAGCCCGCCCGCGGTGCCGGCCCGCAGCCCTCAGAGGAAGGGGTTGAGCCCTCCCTGGGGGGCCGGGGGGCCGCTCAGCGGCAGCAGAGGCTGCGGCAAAGCGCCGGGCAGCTCGGGGAACGGCCCGGCCCCCGCCTGCGGGAAGGCACTGGCAGAGGCGGGCAGGGCGGCGGGGACGCTGCTGAGCGGCAGCGGCAGAGACGCGCTGTAGGTCATGGCGTTGGCGGGCAGGGCGGCGGGCAGGCCGGGCACCGGGGAGCCGGTCCGCATCTGGTTGAGCGTGGGCTTGGGCTGCTCGGCCAGGCTGAAGGGGTTGGTGGGGGACGGCGTGCTGAGACCTGCGGGAAGATACGGGGGGCGTCAGGCGGCCGCCGCGCCCCGATCCCGCCCCAATCGCTCCCCAATCCCGCCCCGCGGCTCAGCCCGGCACCCACCCGACAGGAAGGGGTTGCGCGTCTTGGCGGCCTGCGGCGGTGCCACCAGCGAGTCCAGGTTGACCAGCGAGGAGGCGGCGGGGCCGAGGAAAGCCTCGGGGGTTTTACAGTCCTTCCGCTCCTTGCAGGATTCGGGCAGCGAGTCGGCCAGGTTCGCGAGGTCAAAGCTCTTGGCCGGGTCCTGCTTGGTGCCGGGGAACAGGTCGCCAAAAGGGTCCAGCTCTGCGGCAGGGGAGAGGGCTGTCAGTGGGCTGCCTGGGCGCCGACCGCAGGGCACCGAAGGCAACCCCGACACCCCCCCGACTGCGGGGTGCACACGGGACAGCCTTTGGCCACACCGCAAGGAGCCATGCACAAATGTGGGAGCAGCTCCAGGCTGGCTGTGGAAGCAGGGACGGGGATGGAGGAACGTCACCCCTTGCCCATGCCGCCCGGTGTCTCCGCTTACCGGCGGGGCTGCTGGACTTCACCGAGGAGGGCGGCTGCGAATGCTCCATCTCCGGCTGCTCAGCTGCCTCGGGTTGCTTTGCAAACAGGTCGAAAGCATCCCCCCCTGAAGCTGGGGGGAAGAGGTGAGACTCAAGGAGGGGAGCAAAGGCTGGGAGGCCTGCAGGGCTGCGGTCAGTGCACACACCAGCCCAGAGACCAGGATGGGCCAGAGCGGGAGCCCGGCTTTGGGTGGAAAACACCCCCAGGCAGCACAGCCAGGAGGAAAAAAGCACGAGGTGATGGTTTGAAGACCAGCGCTTACATCCAGCTCTGGTTATGCTCTTGCCTTTTGGGACCAAAAGTCTGGGCAACTCCCCATGTGTTGTGGGCAGTGGACACAGGACTGCCACAAGGTGGGAGGAAGCAGCCGAGGAGGAAGTGAGAGCAGCACCAAGCTCAGAAACACAGATTTCTCCAATAAACAGCCCCCATCTGCAGCACCGCACCTGCAGACACCAACCGTCCTGTCGCGGGCTGTTTTAAGAGGGGCAAAGCCAGTAGGTATCAACAGGGAAACATCAGCCCACTGCAAGAGCACTCCTCTGGGAGGGCTTCATTAGCTTCCACGGTAATTAAACAGCCTGACTAGCTTGCACTAGAACAAAAGGTTCCCTGAAGCCTTCAGCACACCGAAGAGGTCCTGCAGGATGGCAGAGCTGGCTACAGGAGAAGGGGGGGCACCCGAGCTGTCAGGGACAGCCAGCACAATGCATGGTCCCTAGCAAAACCCCATCACAACCCAAGCTGCTTACCAGGGTTAGGGTTAGGCTCAGCCACAGCAGCCCAGGGGTCAGTGGCTGGCATAGTGCCGGAGCCCTGGGCCAGTGGGGACGTGGCTGTCCAAGGGTCTGCAGGGGTGAAGCCAGACGAGGCGGCCGCCTTCCCCCATGGATCAGCAGAGGCAGGGGGGAAATCCCAGGGCCCAGCAGCTGTTTGCTGGGATGCAGTGCCTGCCTGGGGCATGGGCTCCCCACTGCTGGATAGCACTGGCACCCAGGGGTCTGCTGTGCCAGTCCAGGCTGCTGGCTCCGCTTTGGGTTTCATATCTGAAAAGGGAAACCAAAGATAAGAGAATGCCGCATATCAGGGATGCACTCAGGGACTGTGGATTCCCATCAGCACCACCACCCAGATGTACAAAGGACAGGGTAGGGGAGGGAGGAGAAGCCAAAGGTCACTGTGGAACATTTGGAATTGCACAGGGACAGAGGAGGGGAGAGGAGTGTGCTGCCGCCCCAAGCTTCAGCAGCCCCCACCTGGCATATCCCATGGGTCAGCAGACGTGTGGCTGGAAGGAGCTGGTGCTGGCCCGAATATATCTGCCAGCTCCAGGATAGAGGACTGCAAACAGAAAGGGAATAAAGAAGTGAGGGGAGCCCAGGGCTGACCTGAGAGCCCAGCCCAGGGCCACAGCATCACTTCAGAGGCTGCATGTGCGGCCCCTGGTGCTTCACCTGGCTTTTCTTCATCTTATCCTCTTCCTGCTCTTCCTCCCCACCTTGGGCAGTCTCCTCCAAGGCTCTCTGCAGCAGGGAGTTCTCCCCTTGCCATGCCCTCACCTCCTGCGGGAGGGAACAAGGAACGGGGCCGTGAGCCCCAGCAGTCCCGCAGCAAGAGCCTTCTCCAGGAGACAGACCCAGCGCAGGAGCTGCCACCGCATCCCCCAAAAGTCCCAGCGTCTGAGCAGAGGGCTCCACCAGGCTGAGCGCCAGGAGAGCGCACAGCGAGCGGCCCCACGGCAGGGAAAGCAAAGCGAGTGCGAGTGCTGCCAGCAGCGGGGCTGCTGCGCGAGGCAGAGAGAAGCCCAAGTGCGAGAGACGGAGCGCCCAGGGCTGCAGGGCACGGGTACCTTCTCATGCTCCTCTTTGCTCAGCGCGAGCGCTAGCTGCAATTGCCTTTCTTCATCTGTACTGGAAATTGGAGGAAGTGGCTTCTGCCAACAGAGGAAATCGGGTGAAATTTCAGCTGGACCTCAGTCTGCCGAGCGGCTCGGTGGTCGCCATCCTCACCGCCAGCACCCTGCGGCCCCGTGCCGCTGAGCCCAGCACTGGGAGCCCCAAACGGCCCGGGCTCAGGGTCTGCCCCATACAGAAGCTCACAGCCAAGGCAGCTCTTGGGAGGGTTCATCCCCATACCACCGTGGCAGCCCTGATGCAGGGTGTCTGTGTGTGTGTGCACGGCTGTACACGCGTGCAGGAATGTGCACAGCCCAGGTGGTCTCCAACAGGCAGTGCTTTCAAGAGCATGTTCCTACAGCACTCGTCACGGCAGAATGTGGAAGCTATAAATACTGCATTTCCAGGACAGAAATAGGGATACACACATGCTGTTCAGTCTCCACCAGGCAGGGGAAGCGGGCAGTGCTAAGTGATGTGCCAGAAGTATGTCTCCTAGTCCGGCAGGTCTGAGGACATGGTGCTGTCTGCCCAAGGACACTGCCCACGTGTGGGGACGCCCGCTGGCAACCACGTCCTTTGTGTGCCTGGCCGTCCCTGTGTGCTCCACACACACCGTGCCAGCCAGCGACAATCTCAGCCGGCGTGCAAATAATCTGTCCCCAAGGAAACGGGGCCGTGGAGCAGATAGGAGGGGACGGGCCTGGAGGAGGCACTGCAGTTGAGGCCACAGCTTGTTGGCTGCCCACATCCCTGCACAGCTCCTCCTGCTCGAAAGGAGCAGCGACGGGCAGAGGCAGATCGTCCTCTGCACAAATGGCCTCTGACAAAAGTGACAGAAATGAGTGTCAGGACCAGAAGCCCTCGGTGGAAGTCAGCCAGGTTTGGTGAATGAAGAAGGGCCCCCCCGCCATCCCAGGGTCCAGGAGAAGCGCACATGCCTGTGTCTCATCCATGGTGCTGCCTCCACGCTGCTGTGACTGGGAGGCGGGCACAGCGCGAGCAGCCCGATGCAGTTGCGGGTCAGTGCACAGGCGTCGGGCAGCCCCAAGCCACCCCTTCTCCATAATGGCCAAAGCCCTGGGTACAGGGCAGCCCCGCCACACCGCCCTACCTTCTCGGCCTCCTCCCGACTCATTGCCAGGGCGAGCTGCAGCTGCAGCTCCTCCTCACCCGTTGTCTGGGGACGCGCTTGCTCCAGGTCAGAGGCGAACCGTGGGGATGAGGAAGATGCTAGGAGAGAAAAGAAGAACAGGTGAAGAAGTGGTGCTGGGACTCTGGGGAGATCAGCCACCTGTCAGCCTCCTCCCAGCCCCATCCACATCTGCAGCTCCAGAGTGTCTTGTCTCCCAAGGGGACGTACCCCGCATAAATGCTTACAACCTCAAATGAGCCACGGGTTCAGGGCAGCTGAGCATCGCCTCCCAGAAAGAGGGAGCGCACCCGGCACAGCGTCCTCCCCACCGGCCCCCGGGGCAGGACTCACAGTTGAAGGAGGAGGGTGAGCCCCGCGTCCGGCCATAGTCGTCCCCGTAGGGCGATGCGCGGCGGCCGTAGGTGGACTGATGGCTGCCGCTGCCCATCCCCTCCAGGGCCATGCGCTCCTTCGTCTGCAGCGCGTGCGCCCGCTCCTGCTTCAGCCGCTCCTCGTCCTTCAGCAGCGCCATCACCTGCTTCACCTTCTCCCGGATGTTGATGCCCTGGTCCTTGCCGTCACGATCCACGTACTGGAAGTCCTTCAGCGTCTGGATGGTGTAAAGGTTCTCCCGGCACTGGTGGGTCACCTTCTCGGAGCCGGTTTTGATGAGGTAGTCCAGCAGGGTGAGGGCTTTGTACACGTGCCGCCAGTTCTTGCCGCTGTCGTTCAGCCGTCGCCAGATCATCCCCATGACCTCGGCAAAGGCCACCGTGTTGAAGGTGAGGTCCGCGATCTCCGACATCAGGGAGCTGGGGGGTCCCCAGGGGTCATTGGAGGTGGCCTCTCGCACCTTGATCTCTGCCTCTGAATAGTTATGCACGATGTTCTTCACCTGCCGGCGCAGGGCCGAGGTGGTCATCTTTGCGTGGTGCCCAGGACCCGCTGACAGCGGGCGCACACAGCAGGGATGGAACGGGTGCTCACAGCCTCACCAGTGCCTGCAGTGAGGAATGGAGACAGCTCAGCACCACCCCAGGCACCAGAGCCCCATCCCGTAGCACCTCAGGCACTTCTCAAGGTGGAACTGCCCATTGCCATGGTGTGAGCTGCTCTCACTCACCAGAAGCAGGCGGGATGCCGGATGGGAAAGAATCGTACAGAAAACCAATAGCTAGCAATGCAGAGCTGCCAAGAGATTTGGCTTCAGATTCAGCAACATTTGGATGAGCTTTTACCAGGCGCTTCTGCTGTGAGAAGCACCCACCTGAAAATGGCAGCTCCCTCCTCCAGCCCCTAGCTGCCTCCAGGCCTCAGCCCCACCAGCCCCCAGCACGCTGCCTGCAGCCCCGCTGTGGCTTCCAGGCTCCCAGTGCCACCAGAATGCACCACACAAAGACCAACCCCAGTGTGACTCCGAATCTGCCCTGACCTACTGGCACCTGCAGCTATTCGGGTCATTTCTCCCAGCAAACATGGATATTTTACTCCTGGGGAGGAACCACGGGGTCACTGAGTCAGAGCGCTATTCTCCAGCAATCAGCAGGTAACACAAAGCCTTCTCAAAGCCCCAGATTGTGCCTGAGCCTCCCGTGCACTGGGGAGGCTGCTGCTGCTACGTGGTGGCAATGCTCCTGGCGACCCACACCGGTATCACTATCAGCAGGGTCCCCAAAGGCAGACTGTCCTGCAGGCTGTCACCGTGCAGCCCTGCCATGCCAGTACCAGGAGCTGCCCCGATCCCTTCCTGCCTGTAAGTGCCCGTCCTTCATGGGCCACGCAGGGAGGTTGCAAAACCACACGGCTGCACTGCGCCTGTTCCTCATGACCCCATTACAGCTCTGTTCCCTGACCCCTCAGCCGCCAGCTGGGAAAGCACCGCGATCCCCATCTGATCCCTGGGATCAGCAAAGCCGACAGGCAGGGGCTGCTGGCACCGGGTGGAGCCCCGCACGCTCCCGCACCAGAACTCACCGGCAGTTCTGCGATAAGCCGGCGGGCCCGGGCCTATCTCGGCAGCACAGCGCACAGACAGCAGCGACCGGCAGCCGACAGCCGCCTCGGCTCCCAGCACCTCCCCGCACCGCAGCCCCGGCACGCGGCTCTCCCGGCTGCCGACACCGCCGAGCCGACGGGCAGAGCCCGCGAGCCTCGCAGCCGGTCCGGCACCTCCGGCACCGCAGCTCGGCCGTCCCCGTGAGTCACGCAGCCGGCTCTGCCGCTCGCGGCCGGCTGAAGTTTCTCACCCGACACTTCCCTGTCCCGATTCCCCTCCGCAGTGCTGCCGGCGCCGCGGCCTTTGGATCCGTCTCGCCTGGCACGGGAATGCTTTGGGATGAGGGCGGCGGTGCGGCAAAGTCCTCCGGGACTCTGACCCGCACCGTGCCTGCTGCCAGCACTCGGGGACAGATAAAGCCGCGCCGCCGGCCCAGCGAAGCCCGGTGCTGCGGAGCAGGACGTCCCTCCTGCCGCCAACAGCTCCCAGAGCCGGGCACGGCCCCAGCGCAGCGATACGGGACCGGGCTGGGAAGCCGGTCCAGGTGGACCTGCGCGGCCTTCCTGGGAATGCTGCGTGCGGAGAGATGGAGAAGGGGCTGGGATGGGGGGAGGAGCGCGGCCCGGGCTGAAGCGCTGCAGAGAAGAGAAGGTTTTGTCCGGCACAGCGTTCCCCAGAATATAAAGGCGGTGAAATAGAAGCTGTGCGGGAGATAAGGCGGCAGCCGTATGGAATTACTGCAGTGACCTTGAGCTCGGGGCTGCCCGGTGGGAGAAGGGCGGCGGGACGGGTCCTCAACGCTGCGTCCCGGCACGGGGACCGCGGAGGTGAAGCAGAGGTGGGGGAACGCGGCCGGGAGCGCGCAGGAAAGGGGAAAGAGAGAACCGAGGGGAGGACGGGGAAAAGGCAGAGCGGGAAGCGAGCCGGGGAGGCCGGGGAACATGGCAGGGAGGAAGGGAAGGCTCGCTTCATCTTTAATCAGGTGCGGGGCTGGGAGCAGCGGCGCACGAAATGGAGGGAGCGGCGAGGAGCGGCCCGGCCCCGAGCACCGGAACCCTTCGGGGACCGCAGCCGCCCCGGTGCCGGCGGGACTCGGGCAGCCGCGGGCCCTGCCCGGAGCAGCGGCACCGCACCGCCGGCCCTCCGCAACCCGCGGCGCTCCCGCGTCCAGAACCTTCCTCCATCCGTCCGCCCTCCCTCCTCCCGCTTACCTACGCGGAGCGCGGCCCCGCCGATCCGCCGCCGATCCCCCGGTGCCGGTGGAAGCGCTGGAGGCGGCCGTTGCCCGCCCGCCGTCCGCCGCGCTCCTCCGACCCGCCGGGCTGGCTGGGCAGGTCCGGCCGCGCGCCTTAACCCCTTCGGGGCCGCCCGAGCCCCGGCACGGCCCCCCCGGCCCCGGGCAGCCGCGCTCAGCCCCCCCGGTGCGCTGCGGGCCGCGGGGATGCGGCGCCGAGCCCCAACCCGCCGCATGCGGGAGGCGGGGATGCTGGAATGCTCCGTCACTGCCCCCCATGGCAGACAGCCAGGCGCTGCTCGCTGCAAGCTTTTTTTTTTTTTTTTTTTTGTTTTCTTTTTTTTTTTTTCCTCCCATTATTTTTAGACAGAAAGCAGCCATCAGCCGTCAGCCGTCAGCCATCCCCGCGCTCGGATGTGCTCTGAACGATGCTGCCCGTCCTCCCCCCACCCCGCCCAGCAATGCAGCTCCCTCGCTGGTACCCGAGGCTGCCGCGGCGATCCGAGTTCATTGCAATGTCTGCCCGGGTCTAAATTTGGAGCAGATTCTTCCCCTGCCCCGAGCAGCTCCCGCAGCCCGGCTGGGGGCAGAGGAGGCATCGGATGACATTATAAAATAAGTCTCTCGATCATTTTGGTGCCACCCCCGCTCCCCCGGCCTCTGCCTTCCATTTTAATCAGCGACAGGCTTTCTAACATTATGGATATATATAATCTTTTTAATAGCGCTGACATTTTCCATAATAGAAAGCTTTCCTGGGTGCTGAGGCATTCTGGAGGTCTGCCTTCCTCGTGCCGCACAGCGGAGATGCAGCTCTGGGCTGAGGCTGCTGCTTTGGGTCACGCAGGGAGGAAAGCAGAGCCACGCACCGCACATCTGGCAGCTGAACCTCCCACAGGGTTTGGCCGCACGAGCTGAACGCACACCGAGCATCACAGCCCTCCCAGCACCCAAACCCTCCTTCAGGTCAGCCCGGCCAAGTCAGTCCCAGCAGACAGGCCCAGCTTGCGGCCCTCCAGGCGCTGTGCCGGCGCAGGGTTTGCTGGGTGGGCTGCAGCCCGGCTGTAGGCAGCGGTGAGCCCTGGGCAGGCGGGCTGCTCTGCAGCTGCAGCCTCTGGGGAGGTGCTTTCCCAGAACCCTTTCCCAGCCCCTCTCGCAGTTACGGTGTCTCCTGGCCCCACACATGTGTGGTTTTCGGTTGGCAGCTCACAGGGCAGGAAGGTCGCTCACCTCAGCGAGGCAGCAAACAGCAGCAATGATTAACAGACACAAACAGTGTGGGCTGAGCCCAGTGCTGGGCCTGGCACGGCAGGAGACTGCCCACCTCTTCTGTCCAAAGGCAGACAGGAGGCTCAGCAGGCTGTAAACAGGGGTACATGTTTCTAAGAGTGTCCTTTGGAAACCAGCTCTGATTTCACCCCTTGTCCAGGCGCAGAACTTGCATAAAGCAGTGCAAAAGGCAAGAATGGAGCTGGTGCATGCTGCCCTCTGCCCGGCCCTCCCCTGCCCCACTGTGTGTCGGCTCTGGGAAAGTCCTGGTGCACCAGCACCACTCATTGCATGTCTGTTCTTCTCCTTTGCAGAAATGTCAGGGCAGCAGCCCTGTGCCACCTGGCTTCTCCCATGGAAGGGAAAGAGAGAACGGCACATGATGTTCTGCCCTGCTATGGGATCCAAAAGAAACTCCCCTCTGTTTATTGACAAGCTTTGCGATGAGCAGAGGTGGAGGTGAGCCTGGTTTCTCCAGGCTGGACTGGAGCTGCAGGTCCTTGGGATGGGCTTTCCCATCTTTTGGGATGAGACCACCCAACACAAGCACTGTGAGGCAACCACGCCATCCTGTTACGTGCAGTCTCTCTCCTGCCTTGAGAACAGATGGCTGGAGCTGTGTGAGCTGGGCACACTTGCAGGCCGATAAGGATCACCAGGAAGGCAGGAGCTATTGTCAGAGCCTGTGCGACACACCCCAACTTCGGGCCTTTTTCCCTCTCATTCTCAAACTGTTGCTGAAATCCTCGCTGCAGTAATGCTGAGCACAGACATTCCCTCTGTGGTTCAGTGCCCACTAAGCCAGAAGGGGTTCCTCCTTTCCACAGAAGCCAAAGTGCTTCTCCTGACCCTGTAAGGTCTCAGAACACGAAGGGCTGCACGCAGCACCGCCGGGCTGCATTCAACACAGCACTGCCAGGAACAGAGGGGAAGAACAGCTGCTCCCCCCGAGATGCGAGTTACAAGGAGAAACAAAAAGCAAGCACCTCAGCACAGGGAAGAGTTCTGCACTACGTGAGGCTCTGAGACACATGGCAGCGTGGTTCTCCAAGTAAACCAGCAGGTGCCCAAGGCACACAGGCCTGGAGTAACCGCACAGCGATGTGCAGAATCTGGAACAGTCATGCTTAGCATGGATACGCATCTGCTGTCTAAGAACCTCAAAGGTATCATGAACCTAAATTAATGATCTGCACTGATGTCATTTCTTCACGGAGCCAAAGCCTCCCTGGGGAATGCCGTCCGGCTGCTCCAGCAGGAAGATGGCCCTGCAGTGGCACATGGCCATGGGACACCCACAGCTCCGCCTCGGAAACCTGCACAGCCCTGCTGTGCTTCCAGGGAACGCTCCAGCCCAGCTGTGATGCACGAGGAAGCCCGGTCAGAAGGAGGTGACAGGCTCATGTAGGCTGGCAGAGGCAGGAAGGGTGGCTCCAGCACAGAGCCAGCCCTGCTCTCTGTAGCTGGAGCACAGATTTCCTCATTTCAATTCAAGAGTAATGAGTCTCGGACTAAGAATTAACTCTGAACTGGGCACAGATACATTAAGTGGATGGCAAGAGACAGCAAGATCAGCATACGAAATAGGCACGTGTGCAAGGAAAGGTGAGGTGGAAATGTGCACTCTCACAGAGATGCTGACAGCCCAAAGCTCCTGCTGTCAGGGAGACCTGCGGGGAGACTGGATGAGCAGCCAGGAACACGATCAGAAATAAGAGGGACTTCCCTAAGTCCTGGTACTTGGGCTCACAAGTACATGGGACAGCCTCTGCTCGCTTGTTAGACAGCACAGATTGAAACACAGAGAATAACACAACTCTTCAGCTGACTGGCATCTTTAAGTTTGCCTTCCCCAGCAGGAACACCAGCATTTTCTTGATGCTATGGTTTCTGAGGCTACAATGCTCCCTGACCACCTGCAGAACCAACAGATGATCTCATGACAGGCTCACATCACAGCACGTCAGGAAAGAGGCACTCCAGCATTTGTGACCGCTCCATCCCTTCAGAAAGAACAACATCCACCTGTCTTGTGCAAGCATGGCCCTTTATTTACTAAGTCTATTTCTACTTACAAAAAGCTTCACTCTCCTGCTTCAAAGCGCCGTGTTTTGTTCTAGCTCTTCAAATAAAGAAGCCATCTTGCTCACCATGGAATCCAGCAGCCCATAAACCTGCAGCAGAAGTTAACGGAAGATGCACGCAGTGAAAATGAGCGATGAAATCCTGATGACCAGATGGACAGAGCAGAGATGGTTTCCAACACAGGAGTGCAGCAGTGTATGGGCACGGACACAGCCACAGAGAAGCGGCTGCCTACTTCCAGTAATAGCTCTCCTGGCTATGAAGTGTGTTTAACATTGTCTGAGATACAATTAACGCTGCTGCTCCCTCAAGAGTCCCTAAGTGTGCAAAAGGCATCCAGACAGAAATCCCGCACGTGGCGATGCAGTGACTGCTTTTATGTTAATGGGTTCCAGCCTGGAATCAAGGCCATCTGGCTTCACGTCACATTTACCTTGCCACAGAATTACAGACACACAGCTGTCAGTTCTTCAGTTGAACGGAACGCTTCAGCTCTCCAGCTGCAGCCCAGGGTCGGTTTATGAGCAAAGAACAGAAAGCAGAAGGGAAGGTACAAACTTTGGCCAGACTCACTTGGACATAAAGTTTCTCCTGGTACAGCCCCCAAACAATGGGGTCCGTCTGCTCCCGAGGAGCTGTGACAGTGCCTGCAGCTGCAGCTCCTGTGGGCTGTGCCATCTCTTTTTCAGACGAGCTGGAAGGTTTCAGCTTCTTCTTCTCTTTTACTTTTGACTTTCTGCTGTTTGGGTGTTCCTATTCAAGG